CAACAAAAATCATCTTACTGAACTGGACTCTAACAGCAACAATGATGTGAATTATCGAGTGGAATCAATGCTAAACACCTGAACAACCACCCGAACTATTACCGCCCGATATCAATCCTAGTTAAATCAACATCAGTCCGGCAGTAATCCCAAAATAGTCACAGCGATAATGTATATTATTGACTGTGCTTCTTTGTCCATAAAGAGATCATACATCAATGTAATTAATAACCGAGCGACTAGTGGCAGGTAAAGCAGCGTGAGGTGACTGATCACCTGATATATTTGGGTTGGTCGTAGTGCCCTATTTATATTACAGGATATTATGCACATTTGACTATTGTCAACCTGTCTTTTCAGTTTTCTGATAATTAAACAATAAATTGAATCTAATATTAGAGTGGTCACCTTGAAGCTGAAAATTATCGAATCAACATGAGGAAGTCCTCGGCTTACCTTTTGAAATAATTAGGAAGGTGCAGTGTTTCTTTACAGCCATGATGATTGTCTTATTTCCTACTCTCCTAACCCTAAACCCATTATTGTGTGCCGTTACCGCATTTTTAGAAAGGAGACATGAGGAAATACAACAGCTGCGATTGAAGTCGTTAGATATTCCTTTTATAATCCATCAGAAAAGATTCAATTTTAGCATTTTAGGGATTTTATTATTTTTTATTGATTTTTATGAAATAGTAAGTTTTAGCTGAATTGATCGCTTTTGAATATCATGAATCAATAATGTAATAGAAAAGAAAAATACAAAAGCCTTGTATATATCATTATTCTACAAGACTGCCTATTGCATGATTAATCATCCTAAGCTGGTTGGAATTATTCAATCTTTGGAAGAAATAAAAAATAGTTTCAAATTTCTTTTCAAGCTATCTTTACATCTTTCAGAAAAAGAAATTCTCGAACAGCTGTTGACCCTAGTGAGTGTCATAAGTGATGTCATTAATTGTGAACAAGTATCACTGAAACAGAAAGGAGACGGGAAGTTACGTGAGCAGATCTAATCGTCAGATAACATAACTAGTGCGATTGTTATTGTAGGGACAGTTTGAAAGTGGATGGATTTATCAGAGAGATGCGCTAAACGAACATTGTCCTCTGTCCTGCTGCGCTAATAAACTGCAGGGAGAGTACTGCTGATCGTATCTTCAAATAAAGTTCGGTGAAATGAAAGAGTACAGAATGGAGCCAAGCGAAGTTTTAATGGCCAATCAGTAGCACATTAAAAATCGGAACGGACAAATTTTTTTTTTCATTTTCCATTAGGGATTATATTGCTTTCATACATTGTTCTAAACTAATTCAAATAACGGTCCGTTTTATTTGAAAATCGAAACAGAACAGTGTTTTTTAACTGATTTGTTTCAAAATTCCACTATATCATAAAACCAGAAAACAATTTAAGCTGGAAACTTTTTAACAATGGTTGATTTGATGGAAAATATATCGGAACAAATAGATTTCAATAATCCAAATAAGAAGAATGATTATTTCTCACAAAACTTCTAGCGATTATTAATAAATATGTTAAAATGAAATCATGCATCACTGATACTTCGAATAGCTATGCAATCAAATACTTAGAATCATTTATTAATCCATTCATTTACAAGTCTGCAATGTATATATATATATATATATGTGTGAAATTTTAAACATTTACAACTTCTATCTTCTATCATGATAAATCATTTTATTTTCCATGAAGACGAGTTCAAAGTTCAATAGTGAGCTAATTTATCATACCGGATCTAAGTACAACCACTATTTGTTGTTTTACACTAATTTACGGATTACTGATGCACGTGTTTTCATCCGTTTTTTCTTGAGGAAGAACAAATTGACAAACTATCATTACTTGTTAATCCGTAAATTGATAGTTTGCTCTTAATCATTATACCCTGATAATACAAGAATGGAGTAGGTCATAATTATTATGCTTTTATCCATTTTTCTGCAGTCAATATACACTTGTCACATTACCACAATTGTTCCAAATATTCAAAGTCTCTGGAAAAGTATCAATGAACTATTGACCGTGAAATTTCTGATCAATAACAACAAAGAAAAGTTGCTAAAAGCAGAGGTCTCTCGGGTCATTGTTTTGTAAGCACTGCTAGTTAATGATAGACAAAGAAAAATCCCTCTGTCTCCCTTCTCTCAATTGCCGCAACTACGGGGAATTGTTCTTTTGTTTTAAAGTCGAAGAAAATTCAAAATTGTTTCTTAGATAATACCTTTTTCAATTTTAACATTCTAATGGTAAGAAATCATGACAGAATTCTCATGGATTTTTTTAATTTCTTAAAAATATAGAAAGATCAGTCTGAAAGTTTAACCTATTATTTGATTTTCAATTTCTTGTTTACTTCCATATGAGAATTTCAAAAAATTGATATGCTAATTTGGATAAGTCAGCTTTGCGACTGATAGACACATCGATAACTGGTACCACCAGTAACAGAGGGAGTCCAGTCCGAGACACAATGCAAGGACACGATGATGATGAATGTATTTGTCCTCTACTGTCGTCGTTAGTGGACTGCTAAGAAACAGTAGTATCACAGTGCAAGCGTGAAGTGTTTTGCACTTCTTTCACACAACACCGATTAATTATGCCTTTGAAATATGCATATTGTTGTTGGCATCGTGCGTCGCCCGAGGTAACTAACATACAATAATAGAACACAGTTTACCACTGATTTAACCATAACCGAATGCAGTAATTTCTTTTTCCGGAAGAAGGAACAGAAATTTCGGAATTCAGAGGGATGCAAACATATTTATTTATGAATGACAATTCAACCGGAATTCATTTTATTCTTCAAGTTATTAGCACTCAGAAAATATTTGGAAAGTTTGTTGGTCAAAGAATAATTGATTGCGCAAATGTTAGAAGGTACGCAGTTATTAATACTAAAAGAAATTAATTGGTCCATCATTGTTTATTTATTTGCATTCATACTTCTATAATATGCAATACCGACAAATATGAATATGGATCTGATAGCAATGGGTGATATAATCAATTGGTCTATTAGTTTTAGGCTTCTTTCATTGTGTTACAAAAATATTACTTCGAAAACAAAAGTCAAGTGTAATGAAATATTTAGTAAGGTAATGGAATAAATGAAATCAATTAATGATTGCACAGTCAATTCCTAAAAGCAATAATCGAAGCAGCTCACGGCAAATAAATTTCATCGCTGCAATCTCGAAGTCTACCCACGCTCAATCATTTTTGAAATTATCGCTATCATTGGCTATTTATTTCCGTTAATTTTCCAGTATTTTCTCATTTTTCAATTAGGACACATAAATATTTCCAAATTTTCTCTTACTGAAAGCTTATTAGTTCTTAGATTTTAGCAATCTCTTTAGCAACTTTCTGAATCTTCCGAATTGTTCAGTGAAATTATATTAACACGCTAGAATTCAGACTTCATTATTGTATTATTTCATAGAAAATTGATCTGTGTTGATTTTACCATTTCAATTGGAAATCTTTCCGAGAAAGATTTTGCCAATAGAACAATATTTTTATTAAATGTTTATTTTATTTATTAAACAAACACAAGGCAATTGTAAAGGCGGCAAATTGTTAAATGTATGCAATATTTTGATGACTCATTGTCTGTCATTTTAACTTTGGAAATGAAAAAAAAAAAGTAGGTCGCAGAATTCCTTTGTTATCAAATTTGATGAATGGCTTTGCAGTTCATTGCTAGTTTCAAATAGAGCATTCGATCTTCATAAACTCATTAAAACACACTTAAGCATTCTTCATCATTGGCTATTAGCAAGTTGACACTTAACGAAAAAGTTTTCCTTCACAGTCACAAACACATCGATATTCGCGGGAACATTGATGACATTTTTAAATGATGTTGACAACGTGATAAAGACGCATTTTTGAAGTAACAAAGATTGTTGCTGTAACTTAATGAAATTAAATTTTCTAAAACATGAAAAATTAGCATCAAAACTAGCATTACAGTCTTTTTTTCATAAACTGTGTTTCACGCCGTTTATTTCATCAATAATCTCGAAGTCTAGTCGTTTGATTATCACTTATTTTGGCTGCAAAGAAAATTCAATTTGAAAAATTGAACAAAAAAGGTTTATCAAACTCGTTTGCTACTAATTCTAAAATTTACTTCTTTTGAATATAATTTAAATTCATGGCGTTCAAACTATTCCCTTTGTTAAAAAAAAGAATAAGTAAGATAGAAAAAAGTACCATTGCAAATTTAGTCAAAGACTAAAAAAAATGCTTATCAATTTACTCATAAAGTTACTTTAAGAAGTAACTTTCACATTAACTTAATTCATAGGCAGTAATTTTGCTCTTCAATGTTTGTAATGAAAAGTAATAGTTGTGCAGATCCATTTTTGCAATCTTTTGTCAAAGGAATTTTGAGCACAGCTTAGGAATTTTATTTTTACGACAATAAAATAAACGGAGATTATCTTATTTTGATCCTAATAAACGAACATTTTAGCGGAGCAGTAGAATATTTAGGAAATTAGGATTTTTACCAAAACTAAGAATTTTTCAACTCTCAAAAAGTTTCCACATTAATGTCATCTAAAACTTTAATTAAGGTCATTTTACCTCACTAAAATTTAAATTATTTTCAATCACAATAACAATAATTTTAAACAATTTACTAGAAAAACTTACGAAATCTTCAGTACGCGGGTACTTCTCGGCCCGAATGCTAAACACATCATATATTTATGATTCCGTTTTATCATATATTTATGATTCCGTTTTATTTTAAATATTTGTGCAGATCCATTTTTTTTTAATTTTTTTTTTCATCGTCAATAAATGAAATACATAATTCGAGGATGAAATCCATGGAAGCTCCAGAATAACCATAGGATATCCCGGCTTCCACAATCAATCAGAATGTTTTGAAACTTTTTTCTACTTGAAATTTTTTTAAAAAAGAAAGTGGGCACATACGTAATTTTCAAAATCATTGTACTTTACCTGGAGGATGTGAATCAAACTGCTTTTCCGGGTCAGCACTCTCATCTTTCAAAATGTCGTCTTCGTCCTTTTCAAATTCTTGATTCTCATCTTCATATTGCTCCTCTTCTCCTGAATCTGATTCCTCGTCCTCAATTGGTACTTTCTTTTCCGCTGAGGCAACAGTAAGTAATAATGTGATGAACATCCACATCACATAAGCTGCTAACAGAAACTGATAAGATAAACAATTATGCTCGGAAATTTATGTTTTTAGAAAAAAAATTGAGAAATTTATTTCTGCTTCAAATTTAAAAACAAAGTGATCACTTGAAATTTAAAATAATAATTTCAGAATATCTGTCTTGAAATCACAAAATCACTAAATAGAAATGAACAATTTTGTTAAAAAGTGATTTCAAGGGGATGATAATAAGAAGGATTTATGCGCAGCTAAGATAAATAGAAACATAAATTAGATAAAATGACTAATACAACAATTCCATTAACATCATTAAAATTTTTCATAGAAATAAGTGTTGTAAAATGATTTGGGCAAGTATATATCATTTCAGTGGTTTTAAATTCACATCACAGAAACGGAATCTCAATAGTTATTCTCTTGTATAGTTAAAGTTTCATGATTTCGATTTGGTTAAAGGAATAAATTGAAAACTGACTTGAAAGAAAGACAGATAAGTTCATTTGGAATCAGACTTTGATATTATTATTTAACGAACTATATTTCAACAAATCAATCATATCCCTATTTAGTATATTAAATAATTTTATGTTAAAAATTAGTTCTTATGCTTAATGGCAGTAAACTGTTACTTCATTACTTATGGCAATACATTTCAGTAAAATCCAAACTATTTAATTTTTTCAAATTAAGACAATCAACTATTTTCTAGACTTTGCACATTGGATGAGAAAAATTTGAAAGTTTAAAGATGTTAAATGTTTTCAAGACTACTGGAAAAGTTTTATGTTTCAAAAAGAAGCAAAGCAAGTAGTGGTCAATAAACTGTTAACAGGAAAGGTAAGTTGTGATACCTTGGGTATTCACCATTTATATAAAAGCTAAGGATCGATTCTCTTTGTTGATAGTTCTTAATATAATCAAATTATCTTAATGAGAATTTTCTTCATCGATGAAATTTCCCTTTTTGCACTTTTTCTGCCACTACCACAAATAGTTTCTCAATACAAAAAATGCATGAATAAAAACTTTTAAAAACGTTATTACTATTAAAATCGAATGCAAAATTTTTTGATAATTGAGATTGTGAAACAAAAAGGGAAAATCAATTTCAATATTTCAGTAATAAAAATGATAGACTTCCTGATTCGATGATAAATTCGCAAAAACTTCGTTTGATATTTGGTGCAATTATAGTTATACTTCACCGTAATCAGAAAAAGGATGTTTTCAAATAATGGAAAATGAATCATTAGATAGTAAAATGAGTAACAAACTAATTGTAACTCAGAAATTTAATGAGACAAATTAAATGCTAAACAAAATATTTTATTACCTTTTCAGACTCTTTGCTTAATGTTAACGCTTTTTGAAAATAGAAGAAAAATGCAGTTTTTTTGGCGAAGGCCAAAATCAAAAGTGAAAGAGTAGCAATTAAATTTAAAACTTATCATTTTAACCTGTTATTTGCCCTTTGTACCTGTTCTTTGTTTTTGATTGTTCATTTTTCAAGATTGTGGTACAAATCTTTTCAAATTCATTAATGAAATTCATTTCACGCAGAGCAGTGTTTTTTGCAGGAGCAACAATAATAACGAATGACAAGAAGATAGAGGGAAAAGAAAAGGTGGGAAAATGAAAAGATGATGGTAACTTGAATTGAAAACTGATGCCACTTTAAATCGAACTTGTCAATCAACTTTCTTTTGATGAAGTGCAAAAATTTTGTAATAATTGCAGAAAGGAATTAAAGACGAATAAAGAATTGACCATACATAGCTGTTAAAGCTTCTATAATTAGAATTTTGTAAGGAAATCAAAGTTAGTTTCTAAATTTTCAGAAATTTAATGGTTTATTATGAATATCATTTGAAGTAAAAGTTTTAAGAGAAGTGCTTTTTTTTTTAAATATTTCTCTCAAAACTATAGAAAAGAAAACTAAAGAATAGACGAAATATTCGGAGTGTAATTATGTTCGCTATTATGTTATTAATCATCTGACATTAAATGTGTAATATCTTGCACAAATTTGGCAGCAAAGGCAGTATAACAAATAATAATAATAATAATAATAATAGTAATAATAACAGTAATAATAACAGTAACAATAATAGTATTAATAATAAGCTATCTCATACTACTGAATCCGATAATCGAATAATGAATCGATCTCGAAGTTTGACGTGTCACATATGATATGGATGATATCATTCTCTTCTCCCTTTTTTTTTGCTTTCATTGCTTTCGTTGCTCTTATTTTTTCATCTCATTTAGTTTAAAATCAGAGAAGTAATGACAAATATCTTAAAATTATAATCAAGAAAACAAATGGAATTCGGCTCCAAAATCAAGCATTGAGAGAATCAGTGAAATTCCGCTCTCATTAATAATTGTCATATCTGTTTGGGTAAATAAAAAAGAAAACTTGTTGCTATTCAGATGTAACATTTTCCAATAAATGTTACATCTTCCAATAAAATAGTGAAATTAATTACATCTATAATTTATTTCTATTTAACAGTAATTGATTTTTTACCCATATTGTTGTTGAATTATTTTGCTGCTATAATTAAAAGAATTAGTTATGACCGGTTTCCTATATATCAAGTTCAGGAAACGAATAGGCTGCATCAATTCAGTGATAATTTTACATTTAAGAAAAAAATGGCCTAGTTTACCAAATCGTCACGTCTCAAAGATTCGGGTAATCAAAAAAAAGGAGAAAAATGGAATTTAAAGTCTAATAATTATGTCACTCTATTCATCAGTTTTTTTAGAATATTCTGCTACAAACTAAGAATTACATATAATAAATCCCAAAAACGTTGAATACGACTTTTCATCTTTCAAAATTCTTTTCAAGCACACTAAAATATTGATTTTTAGGAGTGTCATTCGTTCCCCATCAATTAAAACCAAATTTAAACTTTCGTTCATTCTATCATTTTTTATCTTTGAAGCAGAATTCCGAATAAAATTTGATCAAAAAATTAGTGAAAATGAGATTTCAAAATGATAATATTATTTAAAATAAAAATGTGAAAAGAAAGAACACATGTAAATAATATCTTAAAACTATAATTAATTTTCCAAGTCGTTTCAAAATCATTTCACTCACTACTTTTGATAATGAAAATTTATCAGTGAAGATTGAGATAAAAAGCAAATAAAGGCAAAAGTGCGGTTTCTTCTAATAATAGCTTTGATGCGTACATCAAATCTACCGCATTTCTCCCACGCATATTACTATTAATTGAAAATTTCGTCATTTTAAAGACAGATTTGTTGTCTGAAATTAGTCCCAAAAAACGCTCTCAAACATAAATAATTTGTATTATAGTATTGTTTTTAGAATCATTTTTAACTTATACAAATGGAATTATATAAACACAGGTAAATGAAAACGGAAGTTAAAAAAATTGTGAAAATATATCTTTTCAGTGGTGTGGGATGGATAATTGTTCGAGAAAAAGGAATGAGTAAGAGTGATCAATTAAAATACCAAACCCAACGCAACTGAAAGGTCAAGCCAATTTAAAAGATAATGATTAAGTGTGATAACTGTTTAACAAGAAAGATAACGTTTTGATTCTTTCCTCAAATTCCCTTCCTTTTTCCACTGCTATCTTCTTTTGCTCTTTTGTTTTCATTAATTTAATCTGAACTATGCAAGTAAGACTCGAATAACGCGAATTTATCACTTTTTTTTCTTGAATCTAATTAAGATACAAAATCCTGAATACAACAAAATATATCATTTCAGTTGAAAGTTATGGTTTGACATGAAATTAAGCTTCAGACATGAATCAGGTTCATAGCAAAGTAAAGTTAAATGTTCTGTCCTTCAAATTTTCTATACATATTTCCTACTTCTTTTCATTTATTCTCTCAGTAACAGTATCTATTTAAATGGATTACTTCAAGACGAAAAAATTAACCCAATATTGTATGAGATGCAATAAACTTTTCATACCTAACATATTTTAATTTCTTATCTTTGATAAGTCAAAGAGTATTGTTAAATAGTGATTTACTTCAGTAAGTTTTCTCGCTATCTTTGATAACTTTGCCGATAACTAATAAACTTATAATGGTACTTAAACAATTTGCTTGAAAATTTTCATTGTTTACAATATTGAATTACCAGTTTTAAAGTTAGCGTGAAGCACAGGAGTATGACAGGTGTCTAAGTTTTGTTAAATTGAGATTCATCAATCTCATTTCGATTATCTCATTTATTGTCAAATAGATTGAACAGTGATAGCTGAGAATTGAATTAAGCATACTTTGCCTTCTTTTTTAATTAGCAGAGCAAAAAGAGAACAATTCTTATTACATAAACTAATCTTTTCGCTTTGAAAAGAACACAATTATACTTAAAAAAAAGAAAAAAATAGATATTGTAATGGAAGAAAAATGTTATCGAATCTATTCTACAATCTCTTCAATTCAACGCACTTTACTATTCATCTATGATCCAAAATATAAAAAATAAAAACAGAAACATCTAATTAACATACAAAATTACAGCTACTAATAATCAAATAATCATAGAAGTTCATAAGATGGTAGTACTGAATAAAGCTATTACAAATAAATATAATATCAAAAGTTTTGCTAAACAGTCGCATTTTCTGCAGTTGTTAGCAAATTTAAAAGAATTTCTTTTCTTGTGCTATAATTACCCAATTATCAATCAATGTAAAATCTATGCTTTTTAATTTTCCACTTTCAATCTACTTTTTTCACGCTGTAAATCTAAGCTTTCATTAATCTTTTTCTCTCTTCACAAAAATTACTGACGAATGAATATAAATGGATTTATGTTAGATACTTGCAAAAGTTAAACGTCAATGGTAGAAGTAAGTCAATGAAAGCATTTCAAGATTATTCCTTACGCAAATATGTTTGATTTTTAGATTTTTTGATGTAATTTCTTGCAAATATTAAATAATATTGCATTAGTAATAATCGTTATTCTGACTTTTCATACCTTTCATCAAATGTCCTGC